AGTGCTGGCATCACAGAACCAGTATCACTGCTGTGTACACAGTGCTGGCCTCACACACCCAGTATCACTGCTGTGTACACAGTGCTGGCATCACAGAACCAGTTTCACTGCTGTGTGCACAGTGCTGACCTCACACACCCAGTTTCACTGTTGTGTACACAGTGCTGGCATCACAGAACCAGTATCACTGCGTGTAAAACAGTGCGGCCTCACACACCCAGTTTCACTGCTGTGTACACAGTGTTGGCATCACAGAACCAGTATCACTGCTGTGTACACAGTGCTGGCATCACAGAACCCATATCACTGCTGTGTAAAACAGTGCCCGGCCTCACACACCCAGTAAACACTGCTGTGTACACAGTGCTGGCCTCACACACCCAGTATCACTGCTGTGTACCAGTGCTGGCCTCACACACCCAGTATTTACGCTGTGTACACAGTGCTGGCCTCACACACCCAGTAATCACTGCTGTGTACACAGTGCTGGCCTCACACCACCCAGTATCACTGGGTGTGTACACAGTGGGGTGCCTCACACACCCAGTATCACTGCTGTGTACACAGTGCGGCCTCACACCCAGTATCACTGCTGTGTACACAGTGCTGGCCTCAAAACACCCATATCACTGCTGTGTACACAGTGCTGGCCTCACACACCCATTATCACTGCGTGTACACAGTGCTGGCCTCACACAAACCCCGTATCACTGCGTGTACACAGTGCTTTGGGCCTCACACACCCAGTATCACTGCTGTGTACACAGTGCGGCCTCAACCACCCCATATCACTGCTGTGTACACAGTGCTGGCCTCACACACCCCAGTATCAATGCTGTGTACACAGTGCTGGCCTCACACACCCAGTATCACTGCTGTGTACACAGTGCTGGCCTCACACACCCAGTATCACTGCTGTGTACACAGTGCTGGCCTCACACCAAACCCCGTATCACTGCTGTGTACACAGTGCTGGCCTCACACACCCAGTATCACTGCTGTGTACACAGTGCTGGCCTCACACACCCAGTATCACTGCTGTGTACACAGTGCTGGCCTCACACACCCAGTATCACTGCTGTGTACACAGTGCTGGCCTCACACACCCAGTATCACTGCTGTGTACACAGTGCTGGCCTCACACACCCCCAAACACTGCTGTGTACACAGTGCTGGCCTCACACACCCAGTATCACTGCTGTGTAAAACATGCTGCCTCACACACCCAGTATCACTACTGTGTAACACAGTGCTGGCCTCACACACCCATATCACTGCTGTGTACACAGTGCGGCCTTCCCCACACCCAGTATCACTGCTGTGTACACAGTGCTGGCCTCACAGGACCAGTATCACTGCTGTGTACACAGTGCTGGCCTCACACACCCAGTATCACTGCTGTGTACACAGTGCTGGCCTCACACACCCAGTTAATCACTGCTGTGTACACAGTGCTGGCCTCACAGGACCAGTATCCCCTTGCTGTGTACACAGTGCTGGCCTCACAGGACCAGTAATCACTGCTGTGTACACAGTGCTGGCCTCACAGGACCATATCACGCATGTACACAGTGCTGGCCTCACACACCCAGTATCACTGCTGTGTACACAGTGCTGGCCTCACAGGACCAGTATCACTGCTGTGTACACAGTGCTGGCCTCACACACCCAGTATCACTGCTGTGTACACAGTGCTGGCCTCACAGGACCAGTATCACTGCTGTGTACACAGTGCTGGCCTCACACACCCAGTATCACTGCTGTGTACACAGTGCTGGCCTCACACACCCAGTATCACTGCTGTGTACACAGTGCTGGCCTCACAGGACCAGTATCACTGCTGGTACACAAATGTGGCCTCACACACCCAGTATCACTGCTGTGTACACAGTGCTGGCCTCACAGGACCAGTATCACTGCTGTGTACACAGTGCTGGCCTCACAGGACCAGTATCACTGCTGTGTACACAGTGCTGGCCTCACAGGACCAGTATCACTGCTGTGTACACAGTGCTGGCCTCACACGCTGCAAGATACATATTCAACAACTATATACCTTTAGCCCCCTATACGTATTAATATTAAAATCACTATCGTAGTCAACAGAAGCAGCTTGTTACTTAAGCGATACCTCTCCACAAGAAAGATATCCAGGTATCGTAGATCTTACTCGTCCACTTGTCGATACTCTATACCATTAATTACATCAAGGTTTTTGATTTCTACATTTCTGTTACTAGTTTTTTCTTATGATCAGTCGGTGATATTCAAAAACGGCGAGTTTAATATAGTACTTAGTGGTGTGTGTTTGCTGGAGCAGGAGTGTTACCTGTCTTCTGTTATACTAGTGAGAGAATACTGGTGTGCAGTAATTAGGTGTTCATCGTGGTGTACTTGTAGTGAGTGTACATATATTCCTGCTGGTCACATGTGTATATACTGCTCTAGGGAATTTTCTCGTGTTGTGACTCACTCATCAGTAACATCCACACTCAAAGGCGTAGATACAGTGTTTACCGAAATCAAAAAGCAAAATCAGTTTTTCTCAAGTATATAAACTGTAATTAACATGTAATATAATGTTGTTAGACACATAGAAAGCCACTAACATGCCTCAGCATTTCCGCCAGAAGGTCTGTCATCATTATCTTCTTTTCCTCCTCTTCCTTCTGCTGTTTCTTCTTCTCCTTCTCTTCTTTACATCGGGTAGATGCCGTCTGTTAACTCGGGAATGCCTCTCTCACTCGTCTTCAAACCTTCACCGTCTCACTACCAGCAACTTTCCTGCTGTCACCAGTCACACTGACTCTCCACGCCTTAATTTAACTACTATTTTCTGGGGTATCTGCTGTGCAATGTCAATGTTTGTGGGGCATCAGCTAGATAGGGCAGGAACACGGGGCACTAGATACCCATCCTCGCGATATTTGCAAACATTAATACATACACACACACACCACTACACACACACACACACACTCAAACCACACACACACAACACACACACACACACACATACACACGGGATGTTCCAGAGATGGGACACAGACACAAGAGGTCACAATTGGAAGTTGAAGACTCAGATGAATCAAAGGGATGTTAGGAAGTATTTCTTCAGTCATAGAGTAGTCAAGCCGTGGAATAGCCTAGAAAGTGACTTAGTGGAGGCGGGAACCATACATAGTTTTAAGCGATGTATGATAAAGCTCAAGGGTCAGGGAGAGAGAGGACCCATAGCAAACCCAGTGAAGGGATGCGGGGGCCAGGACTATGACTCGCCCCTGCAACCATAAATAGGTGCGTACAAATAGTGAGTACACACACACACACAGAACAGCATTCCGACATCTAAATAAGGATCCATTCAGGAACCCCGTAACAACCGAGTACGTTAGGCCCATATTGGAGTTACTTGGCCGCACCATTGGAACCCACACATAGCCAAGCACGTAAGAAACAGGAAAGTGCAAAGTTTGCAACCAGAGATAGTCCCCCAGAGCTAAGAGGTATGTACCTACGAGGAGAGGTTAAGGGAAATCAACCAGAACGACACTGGAGACAGGAGAGGATAGGGGGGACATGATAACGACATACAAAATACTGAGGTGAATTGACAAGGTGGACAAGACATGAGGATGTTCCAAGATTGGAACACAGTATCAAGGGGACACAGTTGGAAGCTGAAGACAACAGATGAATCACAGGGATGTTATGGAAGTATTTTCAGCCACAGATTAGTCATTAAGTGGAATAGTTTGGGAAGCGATGTAGTGGAGGCAGGAACCATACAAGCTTTAAGCAGAGGTATGATAAGCTCACGGCTCAGGAGAGTGACCTAGTAGCGATCAGTGAAGAGGCGGGCCAGGAGCTCGACACGACCCCCCGCAACCGTCAACAGGTGAGTACAAACTAGGTGATACACACACACACACACACACACACACACACACACACACACACACACACACACCCACACACAACACACACACACACACACATATTATATATATATAGATATATTATATATCTATATATATATATATATATTTATATTTATATATGCACACTTTGCATATTCAGTGTATAAAAACGAGAGAGGACACAAAATGGAGAAGAAAGAAATAAGAAGGTAAAATAAAGGAAGCAAAACCGAAAAGATATCCACATAGAAGACAGCAAGATAACAGGAGTAAGACAGGCGGGTTATCATAAAGAATTACCTCAGTTGACGCTATTAGAGAGAGACGTGAGCGTGGCTGCTGTGAGCATCACTCTGGTTATGTTACAACACCACACTCACCATAAAATTATATAAATATATATGCTTATACTTGGTAAAGCAAGCCAGATATTTACAAACATCCCTCTCAGAGTGCAGGAGAATCGAACCTATGACCCTGGGGGACAAAGTACGCAGTACTAGACACACCTAGATATGCCACACGTAACTGTGGTGACTAGTGAACCAGGCGTCTGCTCCTGAGCTCCCTACGTAATTATCTGTATTTCTACCAGTACATGTACAAGGTATACAGACCATAGCTGACATCATTGACATACTACTGTATACAAAGCTGCTTGTTATGTAGAGCATATCAGGTAAATAAGATCAATTTTGTCCCCAGGATGCAACCCACACCAGTTCACTAACACCCAGGCACCTATTTTGCTGCTAGGTGAATGTGGACAGCAGGTGTCTTAAGGAAACACACCCGAATGTTTCCACCCATACCGGGGATCGAACCACAGACCACAATGTGTGAGCTGGGTGCGCTACCAACGCAGTTATGGGACACCATCCTGAGGATAAAGTACGTAGTACTAAACATACCAAGCCAGGCCACACGTAACTGTGGCGGCTAGTAAACTAGGTGTTTGCTCCAGAGCTGCGTACTACGTCTCCAAGGTCGTAGGTTCGAGCCTCCTCTGTTCCGAGATAAATGTGAACATAAATATACATAAATATATGCACTTGTTCACATGTGTAGGGATGCACTAAC